GGCTTACCCATATAGATATATATCTATATAGGTATATATAGATATATATCTATCTATATATATGTATATATACATATATATAGATAGATCTATATGTATCTATAGATATATACATATATATAGATATATAGATAGATACTGTATATAGATACACATATGCACATGTACTTCAAAATCGAGGGAACCATCAAAGTTCAGGATTTGTTACTGCTGATCACAATTTTGTATTCTGTTCATTTACTACACACACCTAAGGAAGAATACTTGTTTTGTAGAATTTCTGAACATTTGTCACAGACTTTATTGCATAGCTGACTTATTGTTTTGGCTATTTTTCTAAGGTACTATATTATTTCTTAAAACTTAGTTGTTGTGTCTGCACTGAAGGTTTTAATATGGCCTGCCCATTGTGTAAATGCCAGCTCTGTGTTTGCCATCAAACTGATTGTTTTGCAAGATGTGTAAATTTTGTGAATGTCTTGAGTGCTGAATGGAAACCTCCCTCCTTCCATCAGGCTTCCAGCTCTTTTTTGGCAATTTTCATATGCTGTACTGTAGACCCTGGCTTAGAATTCTGGCCCAAATTCCCATATCCTGGTCTGGATTTTTGATTTTTATCCCTAGCTGGTAGTTCTCCAATTGCTTTAATCTTGAATACACAAGGCCGAAAAAGGGCCACACTGCTGAGACACACATGTTTGATGTATAAAATGAAATATGACATTGTAGAGGAAAAAGTAAACAAAAACAGTGTACTTTTGGATGAACTTAGCAGTGCAGAATGCATATGTATGTGCTGCTTGTGCCAACATATTTGTCCATCGAGTCCTTAAAGTGGAGATATATGCTGAAAATGTGAACATTTGCTATCTTATAAGGAACATCTAGAAAGGTTGCCATCTACATTTTCCTCTAAACTTCTCCTGAAAAGTAGCAGTGCACTTCCTGACGTGTTGATGTGCCTTATCCCTCCTGTGCCTATAGCCTCATAGTTGCATGTCTGCAGTCTGAGATCATTTAAGGCATATGCTGCCCACTCCTGATTACTGTTTATCTTCAGAGATTTGAAGTCAAGTTTAGTGATGTCACTCCTCTTATTCTTTTAAGTGCTTTCTGGAAAGGAAACTATACCTGAGGACCTGCAATGCATTAATCTCACTGCTTCTTTTATTTTATGAATCTGTGCTTCCTCCACTTCTCTTGCTGCTTTTGGATCATTACCCCGGCAGTCATCAGACCACCAGTCATTGGGGGCTAACATGTGTAAGCAACGCCCTGCTCCTCTACCAAAATAGCCAACTTCACACATAGACATTGTGCAGAGCAAGGCATAGTATGTTAGTCCTGGGGGAAAAAATCAGCTGCAGGAAACATACAAAGAATACTACTCTTTTACCCTAAACTTTCCTACATTTGGGCTTCCACAGTATAGGATATCTTTAATATGTACATAAAAGAAGAACATCATGTGCAGTGCCTACAACCCAAGGAAAACCTAGGAGGCAGTGAAGCTTACCCAAGAAACAGTAATGGTAAACCAGATAGTAGCAGAATGATCATCCTGGCTGGTGGCGGTGTGTGTATCTGAATGGTTAGCCAATATTGCAAATACTTTGGGAGGTAAAACAGTAAACATGTATCCTTTGAGCATTAAACTTTAACTCTTTTACACAGTTGGGAGCACTTTTACTTTTCCTTCTATGGATACATTTACCTAAAAAGTTAATTTCAAAGAGGACCAGTCCATTGCCTAATCATTACAAGCTATGGATATGGGACCCCTCTATGTCTTTGTGGACATAATACTTTGAAAACGTGTGTGGACTTTGTAATGAGAGGGCCAACTGCTGGATAAGTGGACTGTTTTGCAATATCTTTGTTGTGCTATCATGATAGAAACTTATAAAAGCTGTAGATAATATATACAGTACTCTATTTCACAACTTTTTATAGAACAGAAATCTTACAGTTTGTTATATTCCTTTCATGTTAAATATCAGGAGTAGGCAAACGTCGACCCTCCAGCTGTGGTGAAACTACGAATCCTATCCTGTATCTGCCTCTGGGAGTCATGCCTGTGGTTGTCAGAGTCGTCCAATTTCTTAATGGGATTGGTAGTTGCACCACAGCTAGAGGGCTGAAGTTTGGCTACCTATGCTCTATATATTTGTCAGATCAAAATCCAAAGTATGTATAGAGGCACTCACAGGTCTTGCAGCAGATATAAGTTAAAGCATCAGCATTGTATTTCATTATATGCCAGACCAGGTCTCCACTTATTACTTTCTGTACTTTTCTAGCATCTAGGAGGTCAAAGAGGCTTATAAAAAAATCCCACTTTTACAAATAAATGTTAATTTTAATACATTCCTATGTGAAATGTATTAGGTATATTTCCATATAAAATTTATATGGTTAATCAGACATTACTTTAGCTAGAAACAGATTTTCATTTCTCTGAGTTTGGTTGTTGCTAGTCATCATTTATTATTTTCCCAATTCTCAGATTATACAATAAAACACCATGAGGGGAATTTATCAAAACTGGAGCAGACAATAACTAGAGCAGATGTGCATGGCATCCAATCAGCTTCTCTCTTTCATTTTCAAACCTTAACTGAGCAAACTGAAGAGAGAAGCTGATTGGTTGCCATGCACAGCTGCTCCATTTTTTGTCTGCTCCAGTTTTGATAAATTCCCCTCAATTAATGTTCCTGTAATATGTACATTTGGACAGTTGGGCTGGAATACAAAGGCAATCGGAGGAAACATTTGGCTATATGTACAAGCATGTCATTCACACATCTGGACAGATTTGTTTATACATTGATATCATCCAGTATAAGTGAAGCAGCCAACAATGTCTATGAGTTACCACGTGAAAGACTGAGTTGGCTCGTTGTGAAGTGGCAGATATGTTTGTTTTGGAGCATGATTAGCACTGTTGGAAAGCACACTTAAGGCTAGTCTACTTCTTTGAATTACAGATGTTAAAAATTGTACATTTTATAATATTAGTGACAGGCAGGTTTTTGTTTTTTTAATAAAGTAATGTTTTTGACCCTCACTTGATTATCTAATGCAACAGTATTAAAAATGGAAACATCTTTAGGTCAGGAAAGGTAATTTGCTAATATAATAATGGCTGTTGAAAAAGGACCCTTTCAGTGGTCCAGCTGCGTGCTGACTTTCCCAACCAAATTTTGGCATACAAGGCTAAATCTTAGGAACCTGACTAAAGCATACAGTACTTAGGTTGAGGACCCTAATTTACAACTGAAGCCTTCTTAGATAATTCTGCCAAATGTTACTCTTGGTAGCCTTAAAGAAGAACTTTGGGGCAAATAAATCTTAACGCTTGCAGTGGGGCTGCCTCCTCACTCTACATGTTTCACCCAATAATGGCCTTAATCATGGAGATAGAAGAGGGTCCAGGCGGTGGTGCAGACCACTGTATAAGTACAGTGCAGCATTGAAATTATGATATACCCTATGGCTTGTGGCAGCAAATACTTTGAATTAAACGGTTATTTGAAGCAAACACCTTCCTTGTTCTCACTCCTAGTTTGATTGTTCTGATCATAATAAGCTTTGCCTGTTCAAAATCAGTGAGTGGGAGTAGCTACTATGGTATGCTACAATTCCTTGTACAGAAAAGATGCAAAAACAGTTCAATCATTTTAATTCTGATAACTATATATTATAAATGTAAGCATGCTTCTGTTATCTATTTTAGTGCGTGGAAACAAATGAGCAGCACTAGATACATGTATGTCTCTATGATGTATTTATTTGTCAAAGTAAAACAAAAAAGAAAAAAAGGAATGCATGGAATGAGCATTTACCCTTATACACTCTAACTGAGCTGTCTGCATTCTACGGGATGACAAACAGTAAAAAACAAATATTAATCCAAGTAATTAAAAGGTTTAAAACGGATTATGATAAAACAGTTCTAATAGAGAATATAAATATATGTCAAGAGCTGCACTTGTATAACTGTGTGCTTGCGTGGGTTCCTCCGGGTACTCCGGTTTCCTCCCACACGCCAAAGACACGCTGGAGGGTTAATTGGCTTCTGTCTAAATTGGCCCTCCTATTTGTGCATGTGCAATAGGGACCTTAGATTATAAGCTACATGAGGGCAGGGACTGATTTAAATGAGCAGTATGTAAAGTGCTGTGTACATTTTTGGCGCTATATAAATACCTGTAATAAATAAGTAACAAAAGATAGTAATGCCAGCTCAAAAATTTGTCCATACATGTAAAAGCCAGTTAGAGGACAGCCCTTCCTCCTCTAATAACAGCATGGAGTTACTCTGAACTGAATGGCACTGCTAAAGAGAAGGCTGATAGCATTTGTAGATTGATACTTTAACTTACTGCATTTGATTTTGCAGTACATTACATGCTATTTTTTTCCACAGCAAATTGGCATTAGCTGCTACTTTAAATCCTGTTAGTATAAGTAGGTCAAACGCATGGAAACTGTTATAAATATTTGCCTGGTTTTCCTAAACAGGAATTTAAAGTTAAAAGTCAAAAAAGTAACACAGCTGTTCCACACAAAAATCCAATAATAAAAAATAAATACCTGGGAGAGGCTAAAATTCAGTATATACGTCTGCTTTGTAAAA